CCTTGATGATGGCCGTGTTGAGTGCAAATCTTAACCAGAGAGGTCCATTACAAATAATTCAAAATGCCACCGAAATACTCTAAATTAAAAAATTCCAAAAAATCATCAAAATCCAAAAATATTTAAAATTGCAATAAACTCATCAATCTCTTAAAGCAAAACCCATCCATCCTCCGCAACAGTTTGCCGAGATGGATAAGTTGAAAATAACCTCAACTCATAAAGAGCTAATGCCTAGTCAAAAATATCACTAAGATTCATTCTCAAATAATCTTCTGCAGTAAGGACATACATTTCCTCTGATCGGTGATTGTCGTCAAATGACACCGTAGGATAAACGGTTATGACCTAGTGCCCTCTGAACCGAGTGATTTTGCCGTCAAATGACACCATTAAATTATGGTTATTGCCAGAGCTAATACGTTCCTTAGTGGCATCAAATCCTTGAGATATGAATTAATAAGATATAATTGATAGGGCATAAAGTCTAATGTTAGCTTAGGTGGATTCAAATTTGTCCTCTTAGATAAATACCCATCCCAGGTCTACAAGCTATGATGCACTGACATGGACACGACACGACACGGACACGGTATATGACATTTTTTAAAAATATAGGACACAAGTGCGGCGTGGACACGCCATAATAATTTTTTAATATAATATATAAAAATTAAAAATGACACGACAATAATAAATTAAGCAATAATAAATCAATTTTATGATAACATGTTTAGCTTATAACATAAAGATGTGCAGTACAAAATGTATAGTACAACCACAAAAATATAAGCAAAAAATCATTTAGTATAACATGAAGGTCCAATTAGTCAATAGAGGGAATGATAGAATTAGATTCAGAGGTTGGTTTTTGTCCTTCAATATCATCATCATTGAATATCATTGCTTCTAATTCTGGTTCATTTAGAGAAAGATTTGCAACATCTAATAATCCCATATCATCAAGGCACTCAAACCCATCTCTAGCACATCTCACATCTTGTTATCATCTGTCATATAAAGTGGGATTTTCCTTGATAGAAGACGATGATTTGTATGTATATAAACTAAATCTTCAGCACATTGTGGAGTTACATTATTCCTCTTTATTGATTGAATAAATGAGTATGTGCTCCAATTTCTCTCACAACAGGAAGAGGGTGATACTTAACAAAGAAGTTTTATTGATATTGTTTGAAGAAGCGGTGTTAAAGCTCCATGAATCAACCACCACATTTTTGGATCCATCCTCCATCTATCAACCAAAGATTCTTGATCACTAAAATCCTCTAAATATCCAAAGAACTTTGCAAGTTCTATATTAATTTTTCTTCTCTCCTCATTTAGGAAATATCTTTTCTGGCATATCTTTCTCATATTTGAAACTTCTAAATCTTTTTGTGATGAGACACATTGAGGGTCTTCTTAAAGCCATTATTTACTTGAATACCTTCAAATAATACAAAGCATATAAAATTATCTGTTCATTTACCAACAAATTTAAATTAATTTAAAAGATGAATACAAATGTACCTTAGATTTAATGAATGAGCCAAACAATACAGATGTGTGTTGCTTTTGCTCCACCTATTTTTAAGAATGGTATAGACAATGCTCCAAAAACTTGAATCTTCTTCATATGACTTTCTTTCATGTATGTATATAATTTCTTTCATTTTTGCTAACATAGAGTTCCACATCTCATAAATCAAATGTAGGCATGATTTATCTGTGTCAGCTTCTCAAGATCTCATAAATTGGATTAGTGAAAGTCAAAATGTAGTCTGCATTATCCCACCACAAATTATTTAAGACCTTTTCTTTAGCATACCTTGCCTTCCCAACATCATCTTCTCGATAACAAGACCACTTCTCACTAATCACCATAGATTGAAAAGCATTTTTAATTTGTTTGAATCTTCTCAACATGATTATTATAGAGGCAAAATGAGTTTCAGCAATAGCTAATATTTTCAAATGGGAGAAATCATTAAATATTGAAAGTCTCATCGAATGATTCATAATAAAATTTCTCATCTGAACATCATCATCTGCAACTACTATTATCCAATGACATTCAACATAGATGATTTCATAAGCCTCTGTATTTTTTGCTGTACAAATATTTTTTAGAGCGAGATTTAAAGTATGCACAACATAGGGTGTCAAAAATATATGGGGATAAGTTTGCTCCACCAATAATCCTGCAGCTCTACATACTGGTGCATTATCTATAATAACTTGCACAACATTTGAAGACCCAATCATGACTATCACCTCTTTAATCAAATTGACAGTGAAATGTTTATCCTTGTATTCTTCTTCATAATTCACAGCTTTAATGAACATTTGATAATTCTCTGTAACGGCCATGAAATTAATAAGGGGTCTTCTTTGAGGATCTGTCTAACCATCACACACAAAACTAACACCTTTTTCTTTTCACATTCCTTTTGTTGGTTCAAACAATGTCTCAATATGTGCTCTTTCCCTTTCCAATAATTTTGATCTTAATGCATTATAGCCAGGTGGAACATATCCTGCAAGGTTATTGTTACATTAAAAAATGAATGCATTTTTATGATGAGGATTCTTTGCAAAGGTTGAAAGGAAGTCCCGCTGAAAAAAACATTGCTATTTCACCATCCAATTCCTCTCGCTGCTGCAAATTAAAAGTCTTCTCTAAAGGATTACTGACAACTCTTTTTCTTTTCTTTGTTTCATATCATTCACTTCTAAATTATAAAGCTTGATCAACTCTCACAGATGAGGAAGAAGTGTGGGATGAGCCATGAGTAGATACAAAAGGTATCTCTTTAGGGAGTGTCCATTGGATCCTAGATTCAGCTTCATCAACTTGTCTGTTCAATTCAATCAACTGCACCGTAGTAATCTTATGACACATTTTAAATCCATGGCCAGAAATCTTAAGTAGATGTGTCTTCATCCTAGAATAAGATCCTTTGTAGGTGCCACAACAATAATTGCATTTGAATGACACATTCCCTCCTCCTTCAAATGTTTTTCCTAATTTTGTAACTTGAATCCATAACGGCTTATCAGTTTCTATAGATGGCTCTTTTTAACCATCACCTAATGCACTCCCGCCAGCAGCAGAGTTCATTTTGCTTTAAAATACAATGGTGTAACAAACCAATCATACATATGAATACATTAAGTTAAATTGATATGAAGTGAAATCAAAATATTCCAATAATAAGACAACATGAATACAATAATATACGGTCTGTCGGGGTCCAAGGGGGCGTTGGCCCCTAGCATGTACTGAGCGATACCGATCATGTACTAAGCGGTACCGAGCATGTACCTAGCGGTACCGAGAATGTACCTGTTCAATACCGAGCATGTACCTAGCGATACCTAGTGGTACCGAGCATGTACATTAGCTTTTTCAACAATGAAAAGAAGGAATGGCTAAATCCACTTATAGATCTAGGCTCTCTTGCGTGCAGAAGGTGCTCTGTTTGGCCTTGATTGTGAACTTTGACTCGGCTAACCAGAGAAATCACGTAGGAGCGAAGGAATGGGAAAGACGAGCTCTGCTTGGCCTCTGCTTGAGTAGAAATGATGAAGGAACGGGAGGCGAAGGCAGCGTGCTCTGTTTGACATCGGCTGCGAGCTCGCCTGATCCACCCTAGAAGATTTCTTTCGTGGATCGAAAAAATAGGGCTTCTCGTTTGTGGAAAGGCTAAATAGAACAGACAATTTTATTATTTAATAACCGGACACGCGTTTCCGGTTTTAATTTTAATTTTTAAATTGCGACACTCCAATGCCATGTCAGACACGTGCCCATGCAGTGTCGGACGCGTGTCCGTGTCTGGCACGTGCCCGACACTGCATACCCTCTTTAAGCGGAGTGTCGGTGCATTATAGTCTACAAGATACCCTTGGACGAAGCAACCCATGACTGTCGACAAGGATCCTTCTGTCATGTTCGGTGTACTACTTCCTCTGACTAAGTAGACCAGGGACCACGATGGCACGGGACGATGGAACCATCAGATCTTGATTGGGTTCATCATCCATTCCCTTCCCCCACCATCCGTTTTAAGTGCAATATGGTGAAATTTCTGTTTTAAATATCCAATTTCCATATTCCTAAACTCATACTGCTACTATATGCTAGATACCATGTAGTCCTACGTATTTGATTGAGGACTAGCCTTAATAGAAAGTTCTCTATCGTGATCGGGAGGGTTAATTAACTATAGGGGTTTGCGCCTATAGGAAACCAGAACTCAGATCAAAAAGTCTTTTGCAAAATGAGGGCGAAATCTCTGGATAGGATCTATCTACAAACTCATCTGCTTTTCAAAGTTTACTCCGAAACTTTATCTGTAAAACTCCCTCGAAAAGCACAACGGGGGAGGCTGGGGCCAAATTTTCGGATCCCACACCATCTTACATGTTTATCCCCCTGGGTCATGCTGAACCGTGATATTGAGATGAAGCATGTGAAAATTCCAAACTGGGAGAGTGTTGTTAAGTATATCAGTGGTCTCATCTTCAGAGCTGATTGGCACAACATGAATATCTTTGTTGTGGATGTGATCACGGATGAAATGGTAGTCATTCTTTATATTTTGTGTGCTTGTATGGAGAATTGGGTTTTTAGTGAGGGCGATTGTTGAGATGTTATCATATTGAATATAAGTAGGTTGTGAAAGATTGATGTGGATTTCGCCATTAAATATAGTGCTTTAGGCTTCATGATAGTTTTCTCTGAATATTCACACAAATGTGTATAATGGGGACATTCTTGTAGATGGTAATGTGAATAGAATAGTCTCATCTTAAATCTTGTCTGCTTTTATGGCTCCATGCAAGCTTTAAATGGTTTTCTTTGTTTCATCTATTTTATTTATGCAATGTCAATGCAATTGAAAATAGCCAAATGAGCAAAATAAGCAGCTATAAATCTTGCAAGCTATGCTTAAGTTTTGATTGTCTTTTTTTTGGAATAATGATATCTGCAGAATACATGCAGAGTGGTCGGGCAACTGAAAAGTCGGATGTGTACAGTTTTGGAGTTTTGGTTCTTGAAATAATGAGTGGCAAACGGCCAACTGATTCTTCATTCATTGAGAAAGGCTTGAACATTGTAGGATGGGTATGCTTTTACTGCCATTTTAAGCAATCTTTTTTGCCTCGCAATAATCTTTATTTTTTTGTCATTTTTATTGTATTTTGTAATCATGTTTAGCATTGTTAAATCTCTATACAAGAATTCAAATGCGAGTCTTCTTTATGGTTATCTTTTAAACCTCAAGTTCAAATAGTTTACACACTTTTTTCTAGAACTTTGTACCATGTAGATAATGAACCTACTGAATATAGAAAGATGTTATGGGCCACTACTAATAAATTAACAAAACCCTTTTATGAACTCAATAAAAAAAATGAATTAAATACTCTTAAATCCCACTAATCATTGTTGATTTGCCTGTCATCTCCTAGACAGTACAATACTTTCGCCATTAACCCTCATAAGGATAGCATGAGCTACATCTAGTTCTTTGTCTAAGCAAGAAAAAGAAGTATATTGAGCAAAGTACGGTGCTTTTCACTCTTTCTCGTGACGTGCTATTTCGATTCATCTTACATTTTGCAAGCTTGGTTTCCTTTATTAACCTGCGTTTTTATCAAGTACTTCACAGAAATTAAGAGCCTGTAGAGTGTTGTTCTTCATTATCATTGATGCATAGGTTGCGTTGCAGTTAAATTTCTTGGTTGCGGAGGATCGGAGGAGAGATATGGTTGACTCACAATGTGATGGAGTGCAGCTTGAAAGCTTGGATGCTTTGCTCTTAGTTGCAATTAGGTGTGTGTCTTCCAATCCTGTTGATCGGCCAACCATGCATAGAGTGGTGCAGATACTCGAATCAGAAGTCATGACTCCATGTCCTAGTGATTTCTATGACTCCAGCTCAGATTGAAAAAAATGAAAGTCTTCTCATACACGTTATAGCCGAGGCTTCATTGATTTTCTTTATTTGTTTTTGTTCTGTCTGCATTTTATTCTATATGTTTATAGGCAACAACAGCATTGCTGCTGTCATTTAGTTCCATTATTCTTAACAACGTAGAATTTTTCACGATTTCTTCTGCTTTCCAGCACTATTGTTTATTTTGAAAGTAGTGCAATGGTATCCATCAACATTAACTGCTACGTAGTTGCAAAGCTTTTGAAGCTGGACTGCTTAAGCTGAAATTAAAATTTCATCTGTGACAGTTGTATCAACGGAAATTGAATCTGTTTTTGGTTGGATTGAGCTTATGGAATGAAACTAATAAACCAATAAACTAATCAAGTTTAACTTGATTCAAACTTGAATATAATTAGGACTACATCAAGTAAAATTAGCTTGAGAGTGATCAAAATTTGTAAACTGTTACGTAGGTGGTTATTTTTGAATTTAATAGACAGATACGTATTCATCTGATGAATTTTTCTTTGACGAATGACTGATTTTATTTGAATTGTGCTTGAATTTAATTTGATGAGTCGTGTTTGGCTAGAATTTAAATTGAATCAAGCAGATCTATAGCCAAATCTACTTTACTATACCTGTTGCAGACTAGAATATACGCGGCGATAGAGTTAGAAAGTTTCCGTCTCAGCGTTGTACGGATATCTAGCACACAAATAGGAGAGAAATAAAAATACTAGGATTTTTACGTGGAAAATCCTGGAAGGGGAAAAACCACGGGACCACACCCAGTTGAAAGAGTTTCACTAGTGTTTACTTGTGGTACAAGAGGCTGACTTGTCCTTTAAATATAGGACGATCAGATTACAATGCTTCACTTCCGGATAGAAATTCAGTTACATACAAGTTGTGTATTCGAGCTGAATTCAGAGTCACTTAGAATTTCGGCGTCACTTGAGCGTCGGGCAGAATTTCGGCGTCACTTGAGCGTCGGGCAGAATTTCGGCGTCACTTGGGCGTCTGGCAGAATTCTGACGTCACTTGGGCGGAGTTTCGACATCATCGGAAAGTCGGGTGGAATTTCGGTGTTACTTGGGCGAAATTCCGGCGTCCTGTGGAAGTCGGGCAGAATTCCGGCATCCCGTGGAAATCGGACAGAATTTCGGGCGGTGGTCGAGGAGTTTCTTCTCTCCTATCCTTATTCTCCTCTTCTTCCCCTCTTCTTCTTCTTCTTCTTCTTCTCTTTTTCTTCTTGCTTGGGTCCTCTCTCAAGAGAAATGAGGGGTCTATTTATAGATTTCTGGACTGGCATGACCCGTAAATAGGTGAGAGATCAGGGGTCAATGGGGAGTGGTTGGATAGACGGCCGATATTGAATCCCTTGATTGTGCACCGTTCGTCAGACATTTAAAGGTCTTAAAGAATGACTATAAGCACGTTATGTTTGGAAACTGTTTGGTAACTCAAATTGTGGTTCGAACTTTCCAACAACACTTCGGGTCCTTTGATTTGGACTCATTTGGGCTCGAATTGAGTCGAATTTGGTGTCGTTGGGTTCGTATTTCTGAGACGCTCAATTTGACTATAAGTTTGCTGAAATCGGAGTTCAGGTGATCTCGGATTTTAATTTTTGAAGTTTCCGGCTTGATTTTGGCTCAAGATTCATGCCCGATCAAGATAATTTTTTGATGATATATCAATTCCAGAATTTAATGAGCCAATTTTGTGCTAGGTTTATTCAGCTCGAGATTGGATCATTCATGACACTTAAGGCGCCTGGAATGTTGAATTTGCTGGCAAGTAGAATCATTCTATCCTATTTGTACATTCGCAGCACTCTTCTATTAATGTTGTCGTGAATTCATTATGCTTGAAGCCATGACTGAATCTTTCAATGGAGGTAAATGTTACGAATTATTCACTGTTGCAACTATGGTACTGATTTCTGAAGTTGCTAACACACATTTTTACATATTCTTATATTAGTTTATTCTGTGTTAAATTTAATTGTCTATTATTATTAGTAATATTTTGGACCAAGTTGCATCCTCTCTAGGTTTATTTCTTGTAATCAATGAGGCTTTTTTATTAATATCATGATTATTGAATATCTTATCCATGACGATGAATGTAATGGAGAAAATATAGAAGTTGAAATCTACAAAGAGCTTATGACAGAATCCAATAAAGCTTTGTATGTTATTCATTATACTTTTTATGTTTTTCAAAGCAAGAATCTCATTGATTAAAAAATTTAATGAAAATTGATGATTTTTAACTATTGTGAATGGAAAACTTGCATGCTTTTTGAACTCTCCAAATCACTTTAGATAAGATGAACCTCCTGTCTTCATGCCTTTCTGTGATTGTGGTTGTTGAAGCTCTTTGCTCATTCATCCATGGCATATAATGATGGTGTATGAAACCCAAGAGAGGGGGAGGGTGAATTGGACTCTAAAAAATATTTTAATTTTATTAAAGTTTAAAAACATCGATAAGAAATATTAGTAAATTTATATATTAAGATTTTTTAAATTTACGAGTATCATAAAATACTATCAAAATCATATAAGAGCAAAATAAAGTTCTTTTCCCGAACCAAACTTGAAAATGTAATAATAATTTATTTCAGAAATTATTAAAAAAAATTATAAACGTATATTGCAATTTCAAAAAAAAATTGATTTTTCATAAAATCATAGTCATGATAGCACAAACAACAAATATTTTTAGAGTTAAGCGCATGCGAGAAAATTAAAATATATATAAAAAAATTATTGATTCAGTTATCGTGATTCAGCTTGTAGGTGTACATTCACTCATATTTGTGAATATTTTTTACTCAAGCATTTTAGTATCTCTCTCTTCTTTTACTCTAGTAGGGTGGAGAAGCCTCTTTTTTCTCTCAAGAAATAGAGAAATCTATTACATTGCGACTTAAAAAGTGCACTAAACATCACATTGGATTATGGCTATGTAGGATGAGCCGAATCAATTCACTAAAAATAATGTATGAAAATTAGTGTTTAGGCCATATGATGAAAGTGTGATTGAAATGAAATGGGTGTTTAAGGATAAATTGAACGACTCTTGATCAGTTGTAAGAAATAAAGCATGATTAATTACTTAAGGCTATAATTAAATAAAATACATAGACTTTGAAGAAACCTTTGCACCAGTTGCAACAAAAGAGGTTATTAGAGACTTAGGGTACTATTAGCCTTTACATGTTTTAGAGGCTTCCAATTGTATTAGATGGATTTTAAAATTGTATATTTAAATAGAATTATGAAGGAAGACATGTATGAAGAGCAATCACATAGGTTTGAGAACCTTGAGTATAGTCTGATAGACTTAGTACATTCTTATTAGAGAAATCAGTTGTCAAGCGACAATATACACCATACTATTCATCTAGAATATAGTAATAAATATTTTTTTTTGTCCAAATTTATGTAGATAGACATTTTTTTTATTAAACAAATGATGAATTATGAGAGGAATTCTCATCAACAATGAAAAATGAATTTGAAATGTGCATGATGTGTGAGTTGAAATGTTTTTTAATGATTCAGTGTTACATAAAGGAAATATGGGAGTTTCTTGAGACAAACTAATTGTATCAAAGAGATCATTAAGAAATTTGATATGGAAGGATGCAAAAGTATGAAAACCGCCATGAGCTTGATTATCCAATTAGATAAGGATCACAATGACAATCCCATTAACCATAAGAAGTATAGGGTATAATAAGATCACTATTATGATTGACATAATAAATTTAACGTTATGTTTAGTCTAAGCTTATGTGTTAGGTTTCAGGTTGATCCTAAGGAATCATATATAATTGCAGTGAAAGGATTTTATGATATCTCATATAAACACTAAGTCTAGGTATCTTATATTATAGAAATAGTATGAATTTTGAACTAGTATGATACTTAAAAATAAAAAAAACAAAAAAAACTAGTATGATACTTAGATTGAGATTTTGCAAGGTGCAAGATAGATAGGAAGAGTACCGTAAGAACTTATTAGTTTATTTGACATTTCTTAGTTTGTTGGTCTAAAAGAAAATAGAATTTAGTGGCCTTATCCACTATAGAGGTATAATATATATCTATAGAAAGTTATGTTTCCTAACAAAATTTTTTATTTTATTTTAGTGGTGGACACCATTCTTATCATGTGAGATAATACTCATGTGATTTGCATCATAAAGAATCCAAATCAACATTCTCACACTAAGCATATTGATGTTAGACACCATTTCATTAGAGAACTTGAGTCAAAGTGAAATGTTAATGTTCAATTTGTTGACACTGAGAATCAATTTGCAGGTATATTTGTAAAACCACATCATTATGAGAGGTTTAGCACACTTAGGAAGAGATTAAGAATAAGTTATTTGAGTTCATAAATTATTCGGTTTGCTTTTATTTGTGTATATGTTATGTGCTTTATGTTTATTGTTTTTGTGTTTGTCTTTTTGTTTCAACTTATGCTTTTATGATTGTTCTTTGTTGTTGTTACTATTATTTGCATGAATTAGAAAGGGTATGATCATTATAACAATATCAAAATTCCTTTAACTCCATGCTATATGATGCATAATCATATTGTACGATACATAGAAGCTAGCACTTTCCTAGGTAGAATAAGGGTAAAATTAATTACATGGAATGATTTGTGTAAATTATTTGTACTGTATAAGAGCTATTCGTACAATACAATAAACTTAGGATTGTATAACTAAAGTCAATAATTATGAAATTTACTATTGTATTATGGTTGAAAAAGTCTTCATATTACATGATTCAGATTCATACTGTATGAGATGATTGGTTGAAAGGCAATTATGGATAGGCATTGGGACAATAAAAAGGTGAAACTCACCCTATACAGTCCTGACTATAATAGATAATTTAACTCGGTCAATCATATGATAATCAATATGACAATTTGGACTCTTTTAATCATATTGTACGATGTATGATTAGATTGCATGATCGAACAAAGGCTATAAATAAGGAGCTATTTTTCATTTCAATTCACACCTTCAGTACTTCCTCATCTTAGTGTGAAGTAAATCCACACATTCTTATGGCTAGCAAGAGAGGATGATTATCAGTAGCTCCCCACCACAAAAAGTTGAACGGTTTGTTATTGATGATGATGTTGGAGCATATAAAAAATGCCAAGAATTATCTATGATAGACTCGAAAGTATGAAACCAAAAATAAATAATTATTAGGTACTATACTTGTTCATGGGCACCACGCTTCAGTTTCTTATCTCCTTAGTCTTTCCTTACCACATTGAGCTCCTTTAGTATTAT